TCGCCCACCTGAGCTGGGCTCGGCGCTGGCGATACCCCGGCAAGCGTAACAGCCCTCCGTGCAGCTGCCCCTGAAGATGGAAGAAGAAAGAAGTAAGCCTTAAAAAAAAAAAAAAAAAGTTTTGGACATTCATTAGGCAGATTTGTGAGAAACTTTTATGGGAATTGACGATCTTGACTTAACCTCTTTTCCCAGTCAACCAAATTTCTGTGCCAGAATGAATGGAATTTTTTTTTCCTGTAACAGCATAGAAAAGATTAAGTAACTAACTTATAAGTAAGGTATGTTTTATGCTCTCCGTGTCATTAGTGACAGTCAGAAATTTGGTGTCTTCTGTGGGGTTGAAGAACGCTGCCTTGCTTTTCCTTAGTGTTATTCCAGTGGAGATGTCTTGCTTTATCTTGCATCTGTTGAGAAACACATTCAGTAATTTTTTTAAACAAAAAAACCCTTAATTTTTTCCTAAATAAATTAATTTAGTTGCAGTACTGCTGTACTGAAAGCATTAATTTAGAAAAAAAAAGAGTGAGCTAATAGGAAGTGGGAATTATGTAGGCTAAGCTGAGTATGCTGGAAGGTATGTAATCTCATGACAGCTTTGTGCTTGAGGGATCATAAGAAATGACCCATGTAAAAAAATTTCTTCACACAGTTTTTTTAATTTGAGTGTTCTTCATGTAGGTCTTAACAAGACTTGGGATGACTGTTTGTTTGAAAGTAGGATGACTGTTTCACCACAACACTTTCTCACACAGTGCTCCCACTGATACCCACTGCATTATTGGATAAATTTTGAAAAACTAAGTAGCTACAGCCATTTTAATTCTCACCTGATCTCTTACCCACTTGTCCATTCTGCACCACTTGCACTGTTGTATGATTGCTTTGATTTGGAGAACCTTAGCAGTTGCAGGGAGGAGAGGACTGAAGGCAGTCTAATTTTATTTATGGAGGGAAAGGGGAAGGTAGTATATATTTGGCACCACTTCTGGTGTGAAAATGATAACCAGAAGACAATAGTTTTGCCTTTTATGGTGTATGTGTAAGATGTTGGTCAGCAGCACTACACGTCCTTTATCGGAAACACACGCTTGAGTATTTTTCCCAGCAGCTGGCATAAGTAGCCCTGGCCTTGGCTGTTTGTTTTCTTGCTCAAGCATCATTCCCATGCACAATGCTGAAAAAAAGAGATACATGGCCACAAGGATACTGTGGAGGGAAAAGAGGATTCCCCCAGAGGTAATGGCCTCATCCAGTTTTAGAACTGTTGCAACCGTATGCCAGTCCATACCCTGAGTCATCAGCTGGTGAGATCATTTTGAATAGTGACAAGGCAGATGCATCCTGTGTCTGTTCATTCCCTGTCCTTCTGGCTGGAATTGACAATAGCAGCACTAACACTGGAGAAGAGATTAGTGATGTGGACATCTGTCTTTTTTGAAATAAATATTATAGGATGAACTTCATACACAATCTTCTTCGTGTAAAACCAAGTTTTTGCTGCTGGAGTTTTGGGGCGCTCCAGCATGAGAACTGGGGAAGCATTTACAGCATGAGTCAGTGGTTTGAGCACTACACATAAGTAGTATATGTTTTATTTCCTTTTGGCCTACACAAGATTATAACTGATGATTCAGAAATTAAAAACTGTGTTAGGGCACCCATACTCTGAAGTAGTGCTGTCTAGACTTTGTAAATGTATTGAAGTGTCTGAAAACACATGAGAAATAAGGACAGTGGTTTTAATCTGCAGTGGTGGAACTTCTTACTAGAATTTCTAAATGTGTGTTTTTAAGCACAGATATTAAATAAACTTATTTCTCAGAATTTTAAATGCATTATACTGTCATGCACAGCAAAAGGGTGGGAATGGCCTGGGGCAGATACTGTCTTTTGGAGCAGTAGTGTAGGTTTCCAAGAAGTGTTGTGGGCATTTTTTATAATGGGACTTCGGCCTTTCAACATTTTTTTTAAGTTCTGTGAATATAAAAGCTTATGAAATGATCTTGAGTATTAGTGCCAAAACAGTTGTTTTACAAGATAAACTACTTTCAGCATTGCTTGTTGATATTAAATATTGTGCTCTTAGCTGCTGGTGACATAAGCAGCTGGTGTTGTGGTGACAAAAGATTGTTACTTTGTTGACTGCTGTCATGACAATTTTGAGAGTAAACGTAGACTGTACTACCATAGCATTATTTAGTTTCTGTTGTCTTGGGCAACAGAAGTCATTCTCTGCTGAGGAAAAAATTAAGGAAATACTTTTTTACTAGCCTTACAATAATGCAGTCTTTCGTGACTGCTGAGGAGGTGTCACTATAGCACATTTGCTAACCAAGATTTACCGTTTGAAAGCAGAATGTAAACCCGGTATGGTGACAGCAGTGTCTACCTCTAGAAATGGAGTAGGAAAACAGAGTTACATATTCTTTTGTGCTTGATCATTGAGGAAGACCAACATTAACTATGAGAGACAGCTTGTTCTTTTTTCTGGCACCATCTGTTGATACATTGAACAATATTCCCTTTTCAGAGTCCTTGCCAAAGATGAACTGCTAATGTTGTAACAAGAGCTTTGATGAATGGGCTTAGTACCTCAAAAATATGTACAGTAGGAAGAGAAGAGGTTCTGAATCAGTAGCTTAAAAACATTTATTTAAATAAAATGTTCTTTATAAATACTTCTGGTGGAGGCAGGAGGCAAGATATAAGGGGTGTATTAATTACTGCAACTGATATAACTTCATGAGCAAAAATTTATCAAACTGTTTTTATATGAAAATATTTTTAACATTTTTTTCCCTAGAAAACATACCAAAAATATTGATGGGACAGGATAGTCAGCTTGTGTAGTTACGGGAAGTTACAGCTATAAAAACTTTCAAAATGTCTTTTGCTTAATAATATGTTCTCTTCATTCAGTTGAAAATGTTCTCCTGTCACTTTTGTGAGTTTCAGTGGTGATTAATTTGTAGTGGAACTAATTTGCTAGTGTTTGGAGGAAGGCTTCCACAGTACCCTTTGTAGACATGCTAGAAAAGTTGAAGGAAGCATCATGGCCCATCAGAAGGCACTCCAGTTTGTCACTTGACTTCTGTTTCACTTTCATTATAAGGTTTAGGAATAGACTTCTGAAGATTAAAGCCTGCGAAGGAAGCCAACTGGTTTCTCAGAAGTGCCTCCCAATGAATTGAGTGGGAGCCTTTGCAGAGTCCACTAGGAGCTACCTGTGGTTTTAGACTTCTTGGGAGCTGTACAGACTTGTAAATGGAAATTTGCATTTCAGGTGATTTGAAGACATTTTGGGCACAATTGGGAGGTAGAAGAGTGGATGTCATATTTCAGCAGGTGCAAAATGTGCTGCTGTTGCTGAAGCAAAAGATCAAGAATGGAACTGCCACAAACCAAGGTTTGAAATCCTTGTAAGAGTTAAGCTGGACCACAGGGGAGCTGCGGCCTGCTTTGTGTAGGGCTGTGTGATATCTGTCACAATTCAGATACCTCTCAACTTAAATTACTTAGTAGTTGGAATTTTTAAGCACTTGAAAAAATATATCTGCTTTCTAAAATAAAAGACATTTCAGGTGCATTTTGCCATTTTCTTGTTTTGCATGTATACTTTTTCAAACAATTTGTGGCTCTTACGCACATGGAACTGAAATGTTTATTCTTGAGAAGTAATGAAATATCTGCAGTGCCTTGCATTTTGTTTATCATCAGAAGTTTTTAGCCTTTCAAGGGCTGATGTCAGCAAACTGAATAGTTTGGGGTGGAATTATAATAAGTATTATCTCATGTCACAGACGCCGTTTTAACTTGAAACATTAGTAGAAAAATGTGTCAACAATGCATTTAAGATTGTTCCTGATTTTCATGGAAAGAAGTTTCTTTTACATCAAAATCAGAAGTCTGATAAGCCTGGAGCAGGACACAGGTTTCTTTGTACTAGCTTATTTAATTCAGAAAAATTACTTTTTTTTTTTTTTTAATTAAGCAACTCATGTAAATGTAATCTACAGATCTTATTGCTCTTTTTGTGCAAGAAAATGTACAATAGAGTAAGATGCTTTTAAAATGGTATAGCCACACACTCTGCGTTGTACTGCTTTTGCTAAATTGGTAGCGCAATTTTTTGTGTACTTGAGCTCCCACATCTTGATTTTTATGGCAAAATATTACAGCAGTGCATAGGTAAAAGTTGAACTTGAATCCCCAGATGACACAATAAATCTGTGAGCTAGTTAAATTTGAATTTTTCTATGCTTTGTTCTGTAAAGGTTTCAAACTAAAATATTAACATGGATTTTTCTGACGTTTGTCTGTCGCTTTGTAATACTTATTGCATGGGGTAAGAGACTGAGACAGAACTGGTCTCTCCTTTGTGTTCTTACTATGTGGAGGCCATTTCCACCAATTCAGGAGTGGACTGTGGTCTGCCAAGATCCAGCCCTTCTTTAGGCGGAAGATGGCTAGTCTCATGACAAAGTGAAGAGAGAAACTTAGACTAAATTCTGTTTACTTATATTACTGTCACTGAAGGTTACTGACTTGTGTACATTGGAAACGTTCCAGCAGCTTTCCAAAAGCCAGAGGATGTTCAGTGCTGATTCACAACTACTAACGTGAGCTGTAATTTTATTGTAATTAGTAGATGTGTCTGTTAAGGACTGTGGTTCAAAAGGTTTATAATAGCATGAGTCTTCCAATGCTCTAGATTAGCGTACTGAGGAAACCAGTGTGTCTGGAGGACTTGAACTTTCTTTTCCCTTTTAGTAGTCCCTATTGTCATTGTCCCTATTATCATTACTTAAATTACACTTCATATCTTTTTGTTTGTTTGTTTTTTGCATAGAATGCTGGCAGGCTTGGACACTGGTAAATGAAGCTAATCTAGGTGATCTCTTAACCCTGGCAAATGGTATGTGCATCTCAGTTGTATTTATTTGATATGTGGATTTAATTTGTCTTGTTTTACTCACCAGGAGCTTATTTCCGTTTGTTGAAATCAATAAAAAGAGATCTGAGAAGCCTCTTAGCATTACAAGGGAAAAAACATAATTATTAGTGTCCTCAGGTACTGGGCAGTGGACTCTAACTTGGGTTTGTACTTCTGTGGTTTGTGTGTATGTGTATATGGCTTGTGCCAAGTGAAGAGAGTTTGAACTGGTAAGCCCTCATGAACCCAAGCTGGCTGCAAGGAGAGTCATCTTGTGCATGGCTCCACTAACTCTCATATCCTGGTATCCTTTTACCTGAAATAATGAAGAGAAATCTGTATGTCTGTTTCTTATTTGTGTTGTGTTGATGCACTTTGAAAGCTACATGGAAGATTTCAATGTGCAGATCACCTGATGGTCTGTGAAAAAGACCATTTCTGCATCAAGTGTCAATGCACACCTAAGTTTTTCCCCTTTGGGGAAAGGGGAGGAGAGAGAGGGAGGGAGAAGAGGAGCAGGAGAGAACGTGTGAGCGTGTGTGTTGTGTGTTAGCTAGTCACTCACTTGCATACCTATATGCAAATGCATGAATTTTGTATAAGTTGTAAAAAACAGCTTCTTTTTTCCAGTAGCATGCTCTTTGTTAGCTGTAGTTCATAGCAGTGCATTCCTTTTAATGTATTTTGACAGTTATCTCTTTAGTAACTAAAGTAAGTTCGATTATAAATGGAAATGTGGATTGCTGAAGTTGTTGCTTGCATTCAAATTTTTTTAGTAAGTGATGTGTTTGACAGAGATGGCATACAGGAAACTAAGCCCAACTTGCAGCATCTTCTTACAGGTGACAACACTGCAAACTCTGTGGAAGGTTCTCACAGGTCAGTGTATTACATAGTTTATTCCAGTTCCTTATTTGATGTATTCTTCAGTGTATTTGAGAGAGATTTTGATCTTCCTCTTGTATTTCTAAATTCAGTGTTTTAAACCCAGCATTGAATTCTGTCAGTTTTCAAAGTGAAAATTTTTTTAACTTGACCTGCACGGAAAACCTGAGAACATTGCAGAATAAAATAGGACATTTGGTTGTGAATAAAGATCCATGAGTATTACCAGGATTATCAGGGTTAGGACTTAACAGTTTTTGAGTTCTCAGACTTTCACAGACTGTTCAGGTTGTCAGGCACATTACTTAGTCTCTCTGTATGTAGCCTCAGGTACTGATTTGGAAGATGGGGGTAAAGATATCGTTCCTTTTTTTTTTTTTTTTTTTTAATGTCCTTCCTGTGTTTTAGTGATAAGTTCTTTCTGGGAAGAAGCTGGGTTTTTTTGAAAAAAAACATATGAACGTGTTCATACGACATTAAGGCAGTAATACAATGCAAACAGTGATTCAGTAAAACCCTTCTAGCAGTGGGCTGTTTCTTTCTTGCACTAATAATATTGAACCATTAAAAACCAGCATTTTATTGGTTGTCTAAGATGCTGCTCCTTTTTTTTCTTTTTTATTCCAAATAGCAAAAAGGAGGAGATGGAAAAAACAGGTTCAGGGAATAAAGAAGCATCTAGTAGAATTCAAGATTTACCTTTAAACCTCCAGTATCGGAACCACAAGTGCTGTAGTGCATGCCTTGCCAACAGAGCACCGGGCTCCTACAGGGGTGAAAATCCTCTTAAGATACCAATCCTGCTTCACTTTCAAAGACGCCATGCAAAAGCAGACTGTCTTTCAAAATCACTGGATGTGAATTACAAAGCTCCTTGTGGCCGAAGTCTGAGAAGCTTCCAAGATGTGCAAAATTATCTGTTTGAAACAGAGTGCAATTTTTTATTTGTTGATCACTTCTCCTTCAACACTTATGTACTGTTGGGCAGGAACACTGTAAATCCTGAACCCCTCGTGTTTGATTTTGATATTAGCAATGGAGCCGAGTCTGTGCCTGTTTCCTTCTGTAATCATCTTGACCGCGCAAGGTTACCTTATTTCAAATATCGGAGGGCATCGTGGCCACGTGGATATTATCTTAACAATTTCTCCAGCATGTTTGTTGATTCATGTAACTGTACAGATGGCTGCATTGATAGGTAGGTAGAAAAATCAAATCAAGTGGTGCTTGATACCTCAATAGTAGGGTGGTGGTGTAAGTGTGAAAGCGTGCAGTACCAAACAGTGCCAAATAATGAAGGACCAACGCTGCTGGAATATTTGTGGTAGTTGTGTCATGCTCTGTGTTGACTGACACCACTGTGTCTTTGTCTTCTCCAGATCTTGGGTGCTCCTACCCATCCAACCTCTGTTGTAGGGAAGGAAGAGTCAATACATGGATTAGTGTGTTCCTTTCCGTTTCTTCTCAGATTGGCAGTGCTTCTCCTCCAGCTGCAACTGGCAAGCAGATCTCTTGGCTTTGGGAAAGGAGTGGGGAAGGGAGACTCTTTTGCCAGCAGAGGAAGGCTTATTTTCCTGGCAGGCAGGGAATAATCCTGCGTGACAACTGCTGCAGCTCCTGCTGTGGGATGGTATCCTGGAGATGGGGTGGGACAGTCTGGAGATCAGATCATTTGGGACTTAGAAGGTTACTGAGGGCAGAGGAAGGAACATCCCCCTTCACAACCTCTACATCCCACCCTTCCTTCCCTTTGTCTAAACAGAAGCTATGAAACTCTCTGGTCACAGAACACATTTATGTTCTGAGCAGTTCAAATGGTGCTCATTGCTGTATTTTTCTAAAGCCCAGTAATTCTGGGCTACATATTACTCCGTGGGAACCTGCCACAATTAACATACACGAGTTTGGTGATAATGTTGTCTGCTTTTTTGGAGGGGGTTTGTCTTTGACATTATCTCTGCTTGCAAGTGTTACTTGGTTTTGAATCTGTTTTGTATTATTGATAGGTTGGGCAGTTGCATGTGCTGGTGTGCAGTGTAATTGCCAGTGACCCAACAAAAGCTTGGAATCACAGCTTGGTATAATGAAGCTTCAGTAATTAAATTATTTTGTTTCAGCTGAGCAGTGGGGAACAGCAAGCGTAGCGTGCTGCTTCTTTGCACTGAACTCCCCAAAGAGTTGAGATGCTTTTGATATGCAGTTTTGGGGTTCAGGGTTTGGTCCATTGCTGTTTGCACAAGCGCTGTGTGTTTTAGGAGTTGTCATGACACAAGATGGTGAAGACCAGCATTACTGCTTGAGTCTCCATTCTGCGGTGTGAAATTCTTCACTTCCTGGTGGCTAACAGGCCAGGATGCTGTGCCAGAACAGATGTTTTTCATTCATTAATTCAGTCAGTTTGACAGTGTCCTGTTTATAATAAATTTCTGTTGTCCTTCAGCTGTCTGCATGTGCCTTTTACAGAGCTTTGCAGAAGAATGGGGTTGGGGTGGAGAGAACATGATTATTGCAGAGCACACGTAACCAGGCAAGAAACAAAGAGAAGGGCAGGGTGCCTGAAATGGCCTTGTGGAGTAAAAGGAGAGGGGGAGGAATATAGGTATATTTAAATGTGTGTGTGTATAGTCAAGTAAATTTTAAATTATTTAGATTTATGTTTGATTTACACTGCCCCAAATACATTCTAAGATGTTTTACTGTTATCTTTTAGGGCAAAATGTGCATGCCTACAGCTAACTGCAAGAGGCAGCAGTAAAATTTCTCTATCTCCAAGTAGTAAAACATCCCATGGATACAGTTACAAAAGACTGGAGAGACCTGTTCCTAGTGGGTAAGAAAGAGCAAGCTATCAACTGTTATTTTATTTGTATGTTCTTATTTTACTCCTGTGATGTAAATTCTACAGGATAAAATAACTGCAATTTCTGGATTACTGAAAGCTTCAATTTTGTCACAATTTTACTGACAGATCAGGATGATAAAAAATAATTAATGTGACTTAAGTAATAGGAGGAAAAAACACTTTTGTATTGGAGATGCCACAATTTTCACAGCTTAGTTCGAGGTCCAAGAAGTATGTGAAGAGTAACATGGTATTAGCTGGTCCAGGAGCTCAGGCTGTATCTGGCCCATGTGCTGGTTCATTCAGGCATGCCAAGGGAAGAAGGGAGAGGGATGGAAACCTGCCACATGGGAAGAAGGTCTGTCACAAGACTGTTATAGCATATATCAGCCAAAGAAGTGGGAAGCAGTAGCCACCCTCAGCTTTTGCCCTGTATCTTGTCCACCCACTTGCTCTGTAGGACCAGAGTCCTAAAGAAATATCAGCCAGCTGCTGTTGCCAGACTTAGTTATATGTGACTCTTCCAGGAATCTCCAAAGCTTTCTCAGCGCTGCAAGCGTTCACCTTTTTTCTTATTGGGCTCCCGTGGATTAATATGTGGCCTGGGGAAGGTGCCAGTAACCTCAGATGTTCAGAAGAGGAATTGTGCAAGGTAGTTTTCTGCAATAGCCAAGGGCTGAACCCACAGGCTTAAGGAGCCCCCTTCAGTCCTTTGTTGCTATGTGATGTTAGTTTATGGTTGGTATGCAGAATTAAAGCTGCCAGTGAACCCAGAAACAAATGCAAAAAAAGCACAAGTGTGAATTCTTTTCAAAATATGTTGTTAAATCCTAGAACTCACGACAGCTACACTGAGGTCCGGGCAGACAGGTTGTCTTTGCTAAGATCTGTTCCAGCATAGGATGAGGAGCTTTATAGGGATTTCTGCTTCTGTGTGATTTACTCCTATAAAATAAAAAGGTAGCATTTATTTTTCTTTTCTGCTTATGAAAATCTGGCTGACAGACTCTTAAAATTGATGAATCAGCAATCAATAAAGTAATGAGCTTCAGAGAACTGCTGCACAATCAGTTTTAGCCAGGGTCTTTATATTTTCAGTCAACTGCCTTATTAATGCTAAGGAGGGTAATTAATAATAGCAAATTTGTTTTAGTAATGCACTGTTTTGTATTGTGTTTTGTTTTGCTTCCTCTTGACAGAATTTATGAGTGTAGTGTATTGTGTAGGTGTGACAAGATGATGTGTCAGAACAGAGTTGTACAGCATGGCATTCAAGTCAGGTTGCAAGTGTTCAACACAGAGAAGAAAGGCTGGGGTGTCCGCTGCCTAGATGATATCGACAAGGGGACATTTATTTGCACTTACTCAGGTAACAGATGGTGATCTATGGAAGATTTATTGCATAATTCTTCCTTTTCTGTGGCCTGTGCCTTGGAATTGTTTTGGGAACCAAATGGGGAAATACGGGGTTGGAAGAGAAGTGAGTAAATATAATCTTAACTTGCAGGGTGATCAAAGGGACAGAAGAACCTTGAAGAACTCTGCAATGCATTGGTGTCAGACAAACAATCAAAGTATTCTGGAGCAAAGCCTATCTCAGACTGTTGTATTTCCCTCACGGGCCTGTGCATTGTGTGCCAGGGCTAGTTTTCCTTCAGTATAAATGCATTCATATTTTGTTTTCTCAAATAATGTGTTGGGTTTTTTAAAATGTAAATTTGAGCTTCAATAGTGAGTGTGACCCATCTTAGCAAACAAACAATTTTAAAAAAAAAACAAAACCAAACAACTTTTTCTTCCAGGCAGATTAATGAGCAGAGCTGAAGGTCAAGGATTGGGAGGTGCTGGTCAAGAGTTGAAAGAGAACAGTGCTGTGAGGGACAGAGGCCATGGCTTTTTTTCAAGAAAAAGAAAACTTGACACTGATTGTTCAGACTCAGGCAAAAATGCCATTCTTGAGAAGCATGAATCTTTGTCTCCGACTGTGAATAATGAAAACAAATCAACCCTGTAAGTTTACCAAAGCAAACATAAGCATAACAAAACTAATATTCTGCTATTCTAGAAGGCCCTTTGCTAAAACTTACAGTAGAACTGTATGTCTTCAGCTGAAGGTGGTTTTCTTTTTTTTTTCTCATCTTTTTTGTTAATTCCTGATTATTTCTTCTAGTGGGACAGATTTTTTCCTCTGTATTAATTTTGCTTCCAGTTTCATAGAATCATAGAATGGCCTGGGTTGAAAAGGACCATAGTGATCATCTAGTTTCAACCTCCCAGCCATATGCAGGGCCACCAATCACTAAACCCCGCCAAAGGCAGACCCGCCGATCACTAAACCAGGCTGCTCAGAGCCACATCCAGCCTGGCCTTGAATGCCTCCAGGGATGGGGCATCCACGACCTCCCTGGGCAATCTGTTCCAGTGTGCCACCACCCTTTCTGTGTTTCTCCTGGTCTCTAACCTAAACCTCCCCTGTCTTAG